GGAGACGACCAGCGCCATCACAGGCGCACTGCTGGCCTACTACACCTCGGCGCAGGTAGACGCGCTGTTGGGAGATTACCGCACGGCAAGCGCGCAGGACACGCAGACGCAGGCCGCCATCGCAGGCGCGCTGCTGGCCTACAGGACGGGCCCGGACCAGGACGTGTTCACAACCAACCAAATCACCTCTGCGCTGGTGGCCTACCATTCAGCCGCCGACCAGGACACGGCAACGACCTCGAGCATCGCCGCCGCGCTGCTCAGCTACAACACCATCGCACAAGTAGACGGCCTCCTTGCCGACAAGCTCGGCGTCTTATACCAGGTGCCCTTAAGCAGCTTGAGTCTCTCAACAATACTTGACAAGGGAACCTTGAGCGCAAGCACTCCTTTTCAGCACACGGGGTAGAGCATCAAGGTAAGGAAAGGTCCTTCTTAGAAAGGGGGACCCCAAAAGGGAGAAAAGGGTTCACACCCGGAAAGAGGGGGGTCCCCAAGAAGGCCACAGGGGGTGAGGGCAGGCAAGCACCCCGAACCCGGACTGAAAGGCAAGCCACATGGTGTGGCTCGCGTAGCCAATAAGCTACTTGGTATAGTAGGCATAGCCACTCACTCGTCCAACCTGGGTGGGTGGGTGGGAGAAAAATCTAAGGCCCTGAAATTGGAAGGAAAGGAAAGGTTTGAGCCTCAAGCTGCAACTCAACAGTTAAGGGCACCCGTGTAACGCCGCGAGTGCGAGGCGGCCTTGGCCCTGCAAATAGCCGTGCGCTTTCCGGACGACGGTGGGGCCGACGAGGTGGTGGCCGCCACAGGAGAGCAGATCCTGGGCCCCACGGACGTCTCACTGTCAAACTGGACGGTTCGCCCCAGCAGCGGCTGCAGCGTGGTCCTGGCCACGCACACCGCGGGCGCAGTGAGCGTGGACGGCTAGTGAACCCGTGGAACATCGTGCGCACCTACAACTTGACCCCGGGCCGAGAGCTCCTCTTCGCCTGCCGGCACCGACTCGGCACGGCCTCCAACTTCGTGGTGTACATGTCCGAGGCAGACAACGTCTACGACCCCCTCTACTTCAGCTTTGTGGGCGACCAGGCTGCCTGGAGCACTGCCAAGACGTACTTCACAGTGCCTCCGAACGGGGTGGGGCCTGCCCAACCAGACGGCATCTACGGCCTCCAGACCCCTGGAGACCGGCAACACGGCGGAGGAGGAGGACACGGCGGCCTCGGCCCTGCTGCTGAAGCACGAGTTCCTCGACGGAGGGGCCGACGACGTCACGCTGGCCACCCTGGGCGAGGTGCTGCTGGAGCCCACGCTCACCACGCCAAGCAATTTTCTGGCGCGCTCCAACAGCCAGAGCTCCGTGGCCTCGGCCAGCTTCATGGTGGGAGGCTTCCAGCTGGAGGGCTACCATGACCCTGAGCGCCTTCGCCTGGAACTACGCGCTGACGCCGGGGAGACGCTCTCCTTCGGCTGGCGAACTTGGTGATGTACGTCAGCGCGGCCGACAACGACTACGTGGGCGTCACCGGCACCTTCCTCGGCACGGCCGCGCAGGGTGTCTGGAGCACGGCGCGCCTGGACTTCTCGGCGCCGCCGGGCGGAATCGCCACTTCGGAGCTTTCGGAGGCTTGATCCCCGGGCTGGTGCAGCAGTCGGCGGGCACGCAGGGCAGTTCACGACGGGCGTGGACGCCTCGGGCGCCATTTCCTGCGCAGCGCTCACAGGCACCGTCGCCGGAGCTACGCTGTCGTCCACAGACGCCGTGTCAGGCAGCTCGCTGAGCATCACGGGGGCGGCCAGCGTGGGCCTGCTGAGCTCAGCCACCGGAATCACGGGCAGCACGTTGACCATCAACAACACGGCCAACGCCGGGAACTTCACCACGGTGGGCGACGTGTCCACGGGGACATTGACGGCATCAGGCGCAGCAACCGCGGCGAGCTTCGCAGCCACCGGGGCGGTCACGGGCGCCACGTTGACAGGCGGCCTTCACGGGCCCGCTGGACTGCGAGAGCCTGGACTGCACCTTCACGGCCACGAGCGGCGGAGTGTCGACAGGCAGCGTGGTCTGCGGCGACGTGACGAGCTCGGGCACGGTCTCCGCGCCGCAGCTCTTCGCCTCCAACACGCTCACCGTGACCAACACCTCCGACTTCTCGGACGATCTCTTCCTGACGAAGAACTGGGCGGGCTGGAGCAAGCTGCAGATTTCCAACAACAGCGCGGCCTCCGACAGCAGCCCGGAGCTGCGGCTGCTGGGCAACCAGAGCGCCAGGGTCTTCCTGGCGGGACGCACCAGTGCGAGCTGATCATGATCAACGACGAGGCTCTGGTGCAGACGAAGAGCCTCTCGACGCAGCTGTCCTTGACCGCGAACCAGAGGAACCCCGGCTGCCTCGTGATCGCGGGCAACACGGGCAACGTGGTCTGCAACACACCAAGACGGGCTAACCGGTCACTATTGCCAGACCAGCCCTTATTTTGCATGCAGCGTGTTAACCGGTCACTATTTGACATAACCTACGGCCATGGTTTTGTCTTGAGCCAAACTTGATCCACCAAAGCGCAAACCGGGCTCATAAGGGCATGTGTGCGCGGGGGTAGCGCGTGGATTGCCTGTTCCTACTAACTTTATGTTTGCGCGTTTGCGTTTGAAACCGCGCAACTGCATGATGTTCGTGTTCACGGTATGGGTGGACCACGACTTATATAGTTTGTTTGCCGAACAAGTTGCGCTTGTCAGGGGTTAGGGGCTTGAATCTTCAAACTTGTTGCCTTGGACCCCTTTGATTATATGCAATCATCTGTCAAACGAGATATGAAATTTTGGTACTCAGCAAATAAGTGGTTGTGAAAACCCATTCAATATTCTACCTTTCAATCGTGCGCTGCTATATTGCAAGGTAGAATGAGTTACTATTCTATCTTTCAATCGTGCACTGTTATATTGCAAGGTAGAATGAGTCACTATTTGACCTTTCAACCGTGTACTGAAATATTGAAAGGTAGAACGAGTCAATATTCTACCTTTCAATCGTATACTGTTGTATTGAAAGGCAGAATTATAGTCAATATTCTACCTTTCAATCGTGTACTGAATTATTGAAAGGTAGAATGAGCCAATATTCTACCTTTCGTTCGTACACTGTTATATATTGAAAGGCAGAATTATAGTCATTATTCTACCTTTCAATCGTGTACTGAGTTATTGAAAGGTAGAATAAGCCAATATTCTACCTTTCAATCGTATACTGTTATATATTGAAAGGCAGAATTATAGTCATTATTCTAACATTCGCGTTCTGCTAGTTCACGCCGTGTTGACTCTTGGTTAACCTGCAGCCATGTTTCACCAGACCCCAAAACAAGGGTGGCATTCTGTGGCCTTCTCTTGGCCTTCCTTTTTTGTGAGCGTTGTCAGCCTACAGTTGTGGCCCGATCCCTGGAAACAATTGCGTCAGTCTGAAAACATGGTTTTAGCTAAAAGCAACCCCTCTCCTTTCAGGACCCCTTTTGATCCAACCCTAAACCTACATAGCAGGAATGCTTGGACAAGTGTGTTCGGAAACGTGGGTTCTCACCACTGAAGTTGACACATTTGCGCCTTGATTGCTGGCTGGTTCGCATCGATTTGAAAGCATGTTTCTGTTTCTGGTGAAAGCAATCGCTCGATCGCCTTTAAGTTCACTTGCGACCCAACCCTCAGCCCAAGTAGATACTGGGACGCATTTGTTTGGAAATGAGATTTTCCTCATCCACTGTCAGTAGTATACTGATTAATGGAGCGCCCACATGGCAATGCCCAACTTCAACGGTTGACTTGTGTGAAGCATGCCCCGGGCAGCAAACACAGACGTCCCTACACTGCGCGCTCATTGTTTTGCGGAGTGGGTCGGCTGTCAGCCGCCTCGCCCATGCCGCGCTTTGCCTCAGATCCGGCTCCAGCAATGGCTACTAGCGGCAAAGTCAGCCCAGACGAGCGAGCCAACGCGAGGTTTAAACGCAAGAAGCTGGTTCAATGCTTGGCGCAAAGTTTGTTTGACGTTTTCATCAGGGATGACAACGGGCACCGGCTCAGCTGCAGTGGCTGTTTGGTGCATTCATCTTCCCTACGCAAGCGCAAAACAAGGGATGAATTCGACAAGCTATTCCGGACCGTTTACCGCTTCGAGGACATCGCTGTGTCTCGTGAGCGGCTGTGGACCAAGGCAGTCCTTCGGGACAGCGTTTCGGAGTTGGTGAAGATCTTAGACCAAGAGGGGATAACCATACCGACTTTTCCAGGGTTCACAATAGTTCAATGGGTCAAGGAGCAGGGGACTACGCTGCACCGTCTTGCCCAACAAGCACGAAAAAATGCTTGGCTGAAAGCCCACATTATGGCTTCAAAGGGCTCCGCCATGGACAATGCCGAAACCCAGATGGTGGAGTGCTTCGAGGATTGACCCTAACTTATGTCTTGGCTGGCCGAGCACCCACATGCATAAGTTTCATATAGTTGCGGCCTTTGTTCTAAACCATCTCCAGATCCCGCGTTCGTGTCGGATTTCTGTGACACCCAATTTTGTGGCTTGCTGCCCACCCTTGCCGCAGGAATCGCAACGCGTCGACCTTGACTGGGGAAACGTGCCTTGGCTGGCTGCTCTCGGTTATAGATTGATTTGCACAGGGCACGTTGTTGCTGTCCACTGAGGCTCAGGAAACATCGGCGTGCGCAACGAGCCTTGTCTCCGCACAAGTGTACTTGCGTACCAACTGAAAACTTCAACCGGTGTGCATTTTGTTGTTTTTTGGGGGGGTGTTGTTCGAAACCAAAGGCGGAACCAACATTTTGAGGGTCCCACGCCCCAATTCTTGCCAAGGACATCCGAATATGACGATACCTCGACGTCAGGAAGTTTTCTGAATGGAGATGCAACACGCCTGCAATTTGACCTTTGCTAATTTGTTAGGGTGAACAAGCGTTCTGACCAACCAATTAAGGGAAAACCTCTAAGGCGCAGCTCGTCACCCCCCCGTGGTCGACAAGGACCCTCGCCAGTTGTACCATTTCTGCGTTGCAAGATCTTCAGTTTCCAAACGGATCTCAAAGCCCTTGACAATTGTACGGGTGTGTGCCAACAGCAATGGAGGGCCAGCGGTTTTTCCCTTTTCCCTTTGAAGCAGGGAGAAACAAGCACCCTCAACAGAAACACAAATCTATGGAAACCCGCCATCCTCCCCAAACACAACGTTCCCGAGACGCACTGGCCAGCTGGCAGGACACGAGTGACAACCAGGCCAATGCTGCACCTCGGGCTGCGACGGCTGTGCTCAAACCACGGGTGGAATGTGCTTGCGAAAATATGGAAATCATGTGACATGGAGACCATATGCCCCTAGCTCAAGGTTGGAGACCGTATCTGCTGAACATGGTAGCCATGGAAATGATTAGGGCATTTGCGCCCACCATGTTTTCGAATGACCGTTCGCTGAAGGTGCAAGCTTTCGGGGTCGAGCCTTCGGCAAGAGAAGGGATCACATGAAACCCTATAATTATACTATAGCCCGAATGGATTCAGCCGAGATAGAGATTTCAGCGCGCAGCGGAAGCTGCAATTGCACGTGCGCTGAGGCCTGCGCGGAGGAGCAGGTCAGTAAGATGGCAGCTCAGCTGGAGAGCCTACAGCAGCAAATGGCAGCGATGACAGTTGAGCGCAATGCGCTCTTGGAGGAAAGGGAGTTGCTGAAAAGGTCCTTGGAGGGCAGGGGCAGAGGCGTCGGTCTTGGAGGCGAAGACGGGCAAGGCGAGAGCGACAAGCAGCCCGTCGAGGAGAGCGGATCGGGTGGAGGTGCTGAAGAAACCGAGGCCGCTGGAGGCTACGACGAGAGCGAGCTGGACGGGCTGCCCATCTCGGAGAGCGAGTGGATGGATTGGGCTGCGGATGGGCAGGGCGCGGAGAGCGAGTGGGCAAGTTGGCAGCCTGCGGAGGACGGGCAGCCCGCCACGGAGAGCGAGTGGGCGGAGGACGGGGAGGTCGGAACGAAGCGGGTAGGTTGGCAGCCTGCGGAGGATGGGCAGGACAGCGTGCAGAGGAGAGCGAGTGGCAGCCCGGCACGGAGAGTGAGTGGGTAGAGGACGGGCAGTGTGGGACGGAGAGCGAGTTGACGGGTTGGCAGCCTGCGGACGAGTGGGTGGAGGACGGGCAGCCTGGGACGGAGAGCGAGTGGGCGGGCTGGCAGCCTGGCACGGAGAGCGAGCGGGCAGGTTGGGAGCGTGCGCGGGATGGGCAGCCTGTCACGGAGAGCGAGTGGGCAGGTGGAGCCTTGGCAGGCGGAGCTGAGAGCGCGCGCCCTACAAGGAATGATGAGGCCGCGGAGGAGAGCCAATGGGCTGCCTGCCAGGCAGCTTGGGTTGAGACTGTCGAGAGCTACGGAGGGGGCGGCAGCCCAACGGATCTTGATGGCTACGGCAGCTCCGGCGGGCTTGCCATTCGCAACACCGCTGGCGGAGGCAGGTTTGCAGCGATGCATTTTGCTTGCGCGAGAGGCTCGAGCGAACATGTTGCAGGTGAGAATGAATGGGTTGCCCCAGCCCCAGCTGAACCTGCTCCACGCGCGACTCGGTCGGACGGCGCTGCTAACGCAACGCCTGGCAACTTACAGCGGACCTTCTCGCATGTGACAAAGGAGGGCAAATGCAACTTCCTCGCGCGTTTTCAGGATTGGCCGCGGGCCGGGCAGCCAGAGCCTTTTGGATTAACTGGTCTTTGAGGCGTTTGCTTTTTGTGGGCGATCGCAGCATGCGCCAACGCCAACACACGCAAACACGAGCGCGCGCTCGCGCAAACACACACGCGCGCGCGACAGACAGACAGACAGACAGACAGACAGACAGACAGAGACCAAGACAGAGACAAAGGCAGATCAAGGAAGAGACGGACACAGAGGAAGAGAGAGAGAGAGAGAGAGAGAGAATGTCATACTTACATACTTACATCTACGCGCACATACTCGTAGACATGGACACACGCGCGCACACACAGTAAACACATACTTACTTACACACATATATATATATATATCTATCTTTATGTATTTATTTATTTCTACATATGTATATGTGTACACATCGATACACGCAACCATGCACACATGACACACATGCACGCACACAGGCACGTGTGCATGCATACATACATACACGCACACAAGCATACACACACACATACACAAACACGCAGTACATTACATGCGCACGTACAGACATTCGTTCATTACACGCCCGGATGGCTGCTTCAGCTAGCTTCCACACACACACACACATTTGCGCACGCGCACACACTCACATATTCGCACATATATGTGCATGCGTGCACACATACACACACACACACATACACATGCCTGCACACACAATACGCGCACGCGTGCGCGCACATGCGCATTCACACACCCACACACACACACATGCACACACGCGCGCGCACAAACATGCGCACATGCGCGCGTGCAGTTATTACACGCCGTACGCACGGTCACAAGCAAGTTGCGAGCGTGCGAGTAAACGACCAACACACCAAGAGCAACAGTCAAGACAGCCCGTCAAACAAGAAACCGACCCAGCGCCAAACACGCGCGCCAACAAAGGAACAAGCAAACGCTGCGCGAAACACGCACGCGCGCCGAAACACAAACACACAAAATGCGCACATGCACACGCGCAACACAGACCAGAAGATCTCAGGAACACAGAAGATGGCTTTGCCTCCAGGCTAGCAGTTTAATGGGTCTGTTTCACACAAGCCTGAAAATCTAGACGGCGGGCGCTGGGGTTGAAGTAGAGGGCGCCCTTACTTCGGGGTAACCTTTTTCATCAACAGTTCAATTTTCAGTTCTCAGACCAAAGACGCTGACCTGCGACGCGCCACCCTCAACCTGGACTCGCCCAGGAATGTCCGAGCGACAGCGGCGTCCCCGCCGAAGACCACGGCGGCGAAGCAGCCAGTTTGCAAGCCGGTCCTGAGCTGTGTGTCGGGGATCGGTTCACCTGGAACAACCGGACGACTCAAATAATCGACCCCATTTGAGACAACCTTTTAACAGATTTGGAAGTGTTTCCATACCAAGAATGCCAGCATTCCCCGGTCGTGAACTGGCGGCCTGCTGCCAAACGTTGAATTGAGCAGCCGACTTGTTTGGGTTATCTCAGGCCGACCATGGCAAAGAAGAAGAAGAAGAAGAAGAAGAAGGAGCTGATGCTATCGATGGGGACGACAAAGAAGAAGACCGCACGAAGGACAAGCTGCGCAGTTAGTTTCAAACGAAGCCTGTTGACAAGTTTAACGTGTTTGACGTGAGGATCCGTCGCGGTTGCCTGCTCGGTCAACCAAGCGCCCAGCAACTTGGAGGGCAACTTTGAGTGTTGGTTAGCTTCTTACATCTTCTTACCACGACCCACAAGTTGACTTGATGGGGCCCTGATGATTGTTTCTCAACTGCTATCTCAGGATGCGTCTGAGATTACAGCCCCGACCGCCTTGTCGACCACACAACACTTGACCGACGCAGTTGCAACAAAGTGCCTAAGGGGCAAGCAAGCCTTTATAAACCCGCACGCGCAAAGACTTCTGTGTGCATCTTTAAGGCCTGTGAAGTGCGAACCTAAGGCAGCCAAACCAAAAGCGGCCGCCAAATGCAAGGCCGCCGCCAAGGGCAAAGCACAAGCAAAGGCTGCAGGGAAGGCTAAGGCCAAGGCTAAAGCCAAAGCATTTCCCAGCCCCAACCAGCAAGCTGTTCGGGACAACGCGAAGAAAGTCTGGACTTCCGCCAAGCAGAGCTTCATGGAAAGGCCAGCTGTGGCTACAGCGCGCTACCCACTTGCAACTTGCTCGCAGGCTTGGGGACTCGCAGAAAGGCATGACCAAAGGTCAGATTGAAGAGAAGCCCGCCCCTTACATGCCTGTTGCCTTGTTTGCGTGCGCCATCTAGCCTACAGTAAGGTGGAAGACAAGTGAGGAGCGATCTAAAGCGATTCAGGAAATAGGCGAACCGGAGGCCAAGCGCCGCCGCTACATGTGAGCCAAAGCAGTTGGGGTGGATCTAGAGGGAACGGCTTTCCAAATCACAACGCCCCAGAACAAGTAAACAGATGACTATACCTTTTGAGTACCACTGTTCACACGTCAACAGCTGTTGATTACGCCGCCCCTTTGGAACCTGATTAGTGGATTTTGCCGGACATTTTGTTTCAGGGTGCCGAAGTGTCGACAAATAATGACGCTTGCGGGAAAGGGATCTGTTGATCCTATAGTCTTATCTCGGGGAACCGTTATACACAAAGGGATTGCCGATTGCGTAGTCAAAACAGGGCGCCTCTGACCAACATGGGTCAAATGACTTCATGTGACTGTTTTTAAGAATTGCTTTGCATGCACTGGTCGTCTGTTTGTAAGAAGTATTTGTTTTAAAAAACAGCCCGTGAAGACATTTGGCCGCAGGCATCTAGCAACGCTTGCGTGGCCTGACCTGGCATATGTCTGAAACACAACGGCCTGGCGCTCCCTTTGGCCCAAGTTTGCTTCGGTTTTGGTAATTGGGGTTTGCGCGTTTTCTGCGCGCACCAAGGGGCCGTGGAACCATGCGATTTTCAAATCTCGCCGTTGTTATGACGAGCATCCTGGCGAGCGCCTTGGCAGCGCTGGATCCATGCGCAAGGGCCGGCCGCCCCACGCCTGGGATCGGACAAAAGCAAATGAACTGGACAGGTTTTGGGGAAGTGACGGAAGATCAAGAGCTGGACTTCTGCGAAGTCTTTGCAGGCGCATGCCTTACTTCAGTTTCAAGTTGTTTGCTCATTCTATCATCAAAGGAAGTCTGGTTAGAAAACTACGAAAAGTTGATCAAGCAGACGCGGGCTCCCGTAAAGCAGAATCAGAAGATAGAGCCCAACCGAATCGTGAAGGTTACCTCTGTTCAGCGCGCGGGTTCGCCGCGGGTTTGCCGCGGGTGTGCAGAGTTCCCGTTTCGGAGGCGCAAGCCGCGCGGCATGCGCAGCACTTTGGCAACCTGAGGCGCAGATTTCGTTTCAGGCGCAACATTTTGTTCGGAGGTGTAAATCGCGTGGCAGGCGCAGCACTTTGGCAGCCTGAGGTTCAGATTTCGTGGCAGGCGCAGCATTTTGTCCCACGCAATGTCAAGTGCAGATTTCGTGGCAGGCGCAACACTTTCGCAAGGTGGAGTACAGATTTCGTGGCAGGCGCAGCGGTCAGATAATAGATAGATAGATAGATAGACTGATAGATAGAGCAAATGGAAAAAGAGAGAGAGAGAGAGAGAAAACAGAGACAGAGGCATAAATCGCCCGGCAGGCGCAGCATTTTGGTCCCACGCAAGGTCAAGTACAGATTTCGTGGCAGGCGCAGCACTTTCGCATGGTCAGGCGATTGATGGATAGATAGATAGATAGATAGATAGGTAGATAGACAGAGAGATAGATAGATAGATAGATAGTTAGACAGACAGATAGATAGGCTGAGAGATAGATTGATAAATGTAGATAGACAGATAGAAAATGGAAAGAGAAAGAGAGAGAGAGAGAGAGAGAGAGAGAGAGAGAGAGAGAGAGAGAGAGAGAGAGAGAGAGAGAGAGAGAGAGAGAGAGAGAGAGAGAGAGATAGAGAGAGAGAGAGAGAGAGAGAGAGAGAGAGAGAGAAGGTAGAGACAGAGAGAGAAAGCAAGAAAGGAAGGAAACGAAAGAAAAGGAAAGAAAGAAAGAAAAGAAAGAGTGAAAGAAAAGGAAAGAAAAGACAGAATGAAAGAAAAGGAAAGAAAGAAAGAAAAGACAGAAAGAAAGAACAGGAAAGCAAATAAAGGAAAAGAAAGGCAAGGAGAGAAAAAAAGAAAGAAGGAAAGACAGGAAGAAAGAAACGCATGCTAAGCTTGTCCGAAAGGCACTCTTCTCGCTTTAGGAACTTCCGCCCACCGGCTTCGCCGGCTCTACTACTCCTTTACCACAATAGGATTGTTATTGCTAGGTTTTACATGGGTCTGCCTACTTTTGAGGGTACCCCTTTTTTGGCTGATTTTAAAGGGAAACGTTTCCCTTTTAGGGGGGTACCCGCATGACGGTGTCCCCTGGTCACCAAAGGAGGAACTGGCTGGATCCGGTACACCAAAGGTCGCTTGCAAGTTCTCAGGTTGTCACATTCTCCATTCGGGGGCAGAGGCATGGGGACTGCGGAGTCGCTGCCTGGACGCCCCTCAGAGAGAAAGTGCCCGGATCCGAGTTTCGGCTTTGAGTAGCCGGGCGCTGCGCGTGAGGTGTGCTACACACGGAAGATGAACATCTTGACCAACTTTGGCTTCATTCTTCTTCTATCTGTGGCAACGGGACCTGTCACGTATGTCGATTGCAGACTGGCACATGTGCATCCTGGCTGTTGGAAGTTAATCTTTCCAGGTAAGAAGAATCCAAAGATCTGGAACAGCGTGGTATGCTGTTCCGTGCAGCTCTTGGATTTGGCTGCCGCTGGGACAGAGGCTTTGCGTTCCCATCTTTGCTCTGTTGGGTTACTCTTATTGTTGGATCCCGATATGAGCGTGTCTTGCTTTGAGGGTGGCCTTTTTGGTGTTGGTAACCAGGAGAACCCAAAAAGGAAGCCATCATTGTTTTTGGGACAGTGTCCCCCAAAAAAAACAGACCTACAGATTGTTGGAGTTGGGGGACCATTTCTGCTGCCAAGGGTGTCTGCCAGCGTCCCCCCTCCAACCCCTGCTTCTGTCGACAACATTGATTTCCAACACTTGAGCAAACTTGCTCGCTTCGTGCTTACCTTTGACATTTTTACTCAATAGGAGTAGATCCAGCGTTTTACAGGCGGGCCCCCTTTCCCTACCTCAAATGTTGCAACAAAAAGGGCCACTCGGACAGCCTCGTGCTAACAACCGGTCACATGTTTGTTTACGAAAGCAACCCTACATGCTGCGCCACAACATGGAAAAGGATGTTCGATGTGTAAGCAGGAAGCAGGATCCAAGACAACGCGGACCCCTTCCTGACTTTGCAACCCTGGCATAGATTCCAGTTGCAGGGAGTTTTCAGAGAACGTCTTCTGTCCGACCCAGCATCCGTAAATTCGTTTTGGTTCCAGAGGGGTTTCTAGAAATTCCCCACAAGGCATGTGTGCTTCTTGGGGCTGGAACAAGTTACATTGTTTGGCTCAATCAGGACCTGATTGGAAACACTTCCCCGAAACACAAACAAGACTTGTGGACAAAAGCTTGTGCCCAATCCAGTGTCCAGAAATGATCTTTGGTGCAAAACAGGCACTTAGACATAGCTCGAAGACATTGGCCCTTTGGGCTGGCCCAGGAGCCGTGGATCGACGCATCGATCTTGGGTGCAAGCAGCCGGACCTAGGCGGGGGAGATCCAGCTCGGTGCGAAAAGCAAACAAGCTCGCCCGGCGTGTGGCATACGCGCGTCTTGGATGGCTTTGGAGAGCGAAACACTGTTTGGTGGATTTGAGCGTGACACTGATCTTGAGGCTTGAGTACAACTTCCGGAAAGGGGTTGAATACGTGGTTGAGAACCCTTCCTCTTCGCTCCTGGAACCTTGGTCCACATGTATTTGGGGCAGGGGGCAATCGACTCCGATGTTCTTTAAAAAACCAGTGCAATCTGTACTGAGGGATGCTTTCAACGTCATGGCGCCCGGCGAGTAACCATCTACCTTGGGTCGTTTGGCGCGCGCACGTTGAAGCCGGCGCCTGGCCCGCGCAATTATGGCGCAGACCTTTTACACTTGAGCGCAGATTGACATAATTGGTCAAGCGATCAAGGGTGCGTTTTTTGAAGGATGTTGCAAGGACAGCTGGGCCAAAACACAGCTGTGTCAAACTGATCGAGGTCACGCTGTGGGGCACGGCTTCCTGGTTGCAGCAGCTCCCGAACACACTGAACCCGTCTACACGAGGCACTCTTAGGAGGATCGGGTCTTTGCTCGGGCTTGATGTCGTGCGACGTTATCAAGACGGGCGTGGTGTTTCACGGCTGGCGGGAGACTTATCTATAGCACTCATGTTGTAGATGCAGCAAACGTATGTGCGGGGGCACAGTGTCTGACCCTGCCCTGCAAACACACTTAGGCGGGAGGGCGGGACTTGCGGGGCACGCAAGCCTATCCGGGATCATTGGGCCTCACGGCCGCCTGGCGGAAACCCACGTTTTGCGCAAGGGCGCCCCTACGAGCATTGGTCTTTCAAGTTGGGAGAGGGTGCCATCACAGGCCAAATGTCTCCGAAGTCGGTTAATTCCCGTTTTGTAGTGAGAAGATGTTCTAGACAAGACCAAACATGGCGCTTGTCGAGCACAACCATGTAGAGACAGTTGACCCCTTAGTTGGGGGGCAACCCCTTTTCAAAAGTGACAGCGCGCTGCTCGATCAAGGTTGGTCGCCTTTTAAGTGATCACCTCCTGAGAGTCGGGCAGCAGAGCGCTGGTGCTGACGCCGGCGTTGTGTTCGAGGACTTCGATGACCTCGAGGGGGACGACAGCGAGCTAGAAGATCTGGTGTGATCCAGATCGAGGCTAGTCATGCTGCAAGGGGGAAAAACACATGCTGACCCAAGCGGCTCGACCAGTGGGAATTCAAATGCCTTTTTTGGGCGGTTCCAACTCTTAAAACTTGCAGTCAACTCCGCGAGTGTGTTTGAAGGCACTTGTTTGGGGTTTGGGGTTGTTTTAAAGGGACAATGTGTGAGCCATGCTGGGGGTTCCCCTTCGCCCCAAAAACAACGTGATCCAATCAGGTGAGGTTTCAACCATCCATCCTCGCGCAGACATTTGGGGAGACATGGGGTTCAACCATCTACTCAACACACTTTCAGGACGAGGTGTCCAAAGTCCCTTTCACCCCCCTCAAAAGGATGCATCTTAACAGGTCTACATATCGCTCGTTGGGGTAAGACGGTCCCCTATACTGAGTTACCCAATTGGACATTGTCTTGCACAAGTGGGGAAACCCTTGAAGAGGCGCCACCTCGGTATGGATGCATTGCAATTAGGGTCTAAAGCACATGCGCCGCGTCCCGAAAGAAGAAAACGTGTCAGAACATGTCAGGCCCTTTTGCTTGAGGGTTGTTGCCAGAGGATCCTCTGACAATTTGGGAAACACCCTTGAAAACATGGAGGCCTGGCAAAAACGTGTCAGAACGTGTCAGCGCGTGCCACAAGACGTTAAAACCGCAAAAAAACGTGTCAGAACGTGCCGAGGGGGGTCCAAATTTTCCGTGTGCAACATGTGTGTCGCAGCAGTGCTCTGCGATGTTGAGCAACCAATTCGTGCCGCGAAACGGCCTCTCAGAGCACGTGGCTCCATGCCGATCTCGGTCAAAACGCTCTTTAGCTCCATGGATCCCGGGATGGGGGGCTCCGGCAAGGGCCCCAAGGCTGGGCTGTGTAGTTTGAAAAACCAAGAGCTCATTCTGATTTGTGTTTCAGCCACGCGTGCTTTCTAGTGATCGCAGCCAGGTGTTGGATTGTTCTTGGGTTCCCTATTTGAGGCGGCAAGCCCAGGAAGCTCAAAAGGTGTCGGAGCCGGCGCCAAGGGCCAGTCCGTCGACAGCACAGGCACCAAGGGGGGCCCGTCGGTCGGCAAGAGCACCTTTGCTGGCGACGGCAAGGGCAAGGGCGGCGACACGCAGTTCACCAAGGGCGACAACTCCGGCAGCAAGGGCGCCAAGAAGGGCAAGGACGGCTTCAGCAACTCCGGCGACGGGGGCGGCGACGACGTGCGCTTCACCAAGGGTGGCAACCCCGGCGTCGACAGCAAGGGCGCCAAGGGCGTGAAGGGCAGCTTCACCAAGTCCGGCGACGCGGGCAACGTCGACACGCAGTTCACCAAGGGTGACAACTCCGGCAGCAAGGGCGCTAAGGGCAAGGACAGCTTCAGCAACTCCGGCGACGGGGGCGGCAACGACGTGCGCTTCACGAAGGGTGGCAACTCCAGCGTCGACAGCAAGGGCGCCAAGGGCGTGAAGGGCAGGTTCAACAAGTCCGGCGATGCGGGCAACGTCGACACGCAGTTCACCAAGGGCGACAACTCCGGCAGCAAGGGCGCCAAGAAGGGCAAGGACAGCTTCAGCAACTCCGGCGACGGGGGCGGCGACGACGTGCGCTTCACGAAGGGTGGCAACTCCAGCGTCGACAGCAAGGGCGCCAAGGGCGTGAAGGGCAGCTTCAACAAGTCCGGCGACGCGGGCAACGTCGACACGCAGTTCACCAAGGGCGACAACTCCGGCAGCAAGGGCGCCAAGAAGGGCAAGGACGGCTTCAGGAACTCCGGCGACGGGGGCGGCGACGACGTGCGCTTCACCAAGGGTGGCAACTCCGGCGTCGACGGCAAGGGTGCCAAGGGCGGCAAGGACGGCTTCAGCAACTCCGACGGGGGCGCGAAGGGCGGCAAGGACGGCCTCAGCACGTCCGGCAATCCACAGTTCACCAAGGGCGACCGCTCCGGCAGCAAGGGTGCCAAGGGCGGCAAGGACGGCTTCAGCAAGTCCGGCGACTGGGGCAGCAACGCGCAGTTCACCAACAAGGGCGACCGCGGCAGCAAGGGCGCCAATCAGGGCGGCAAGGACGGCTGCAGCAACTCCGACGTGGGCGACAACGTGCGCTTGACCAAGGGCGCCGACTCCGGCGTCGACGGCAAGGGCGCCAAGGGCAACGTCAACAAGTCCGGCAACGGGGGATCCGACCCGCAGATCACCAAGGCCGCCGACGGCTTGCGCAAGGGCGACAACTTCGGCGGCAAGGGTCCCAGCGACGGGGGCAACAGCGTGCACTTCGCCAAGGGCGGCGACTCCGGCGGCAAGAGCGGCAAGGGCGTCAAGGGCGGCTTCAACAAGTCCGGCGACGGGGTCAGCGTCGACGTGCAGTTCACCAAGGGCGATGGCAGCAAGGGCGTCGCGGGCGGCTTCGCCAAGGGCGGCGGCAAGGACGGCGACGCTGCTGACGTGGGCAGCACAGGCTTTCCCAAAAAGGCAAGGCCGGCGCCGGCGCCTGAAACTCTGACCATCGCAAAGAAGGCAAGGCCGCAGCCCCCGGCGCCATCGGGCCCTGATGATGAGGACTTTCAAACTGTGTTCGTCTAAGTGCATCAGTTGCGTCCCTCGACCGAACATCGGTCGGATCGCCGCGCGCTGTGTTCGTACCCGTGAAAAGAAGCAGAGTTCCCCTGCTGCAGGACTCCAGCCTGCAAACTCCACCGCCAAAGAGGCAGAGGCACGAGTTGCGCGGCAAAGCGCGCTGCGTTCTTGAGACGGTTTAAAATGAACACCTGGGCACCGTCATGTGAGATGCAATGCTCATTTTGTGTCTACCCCAAATCGGACTTCGGCCAAGCCCCCAAACAATGGGCCCTACACAAAACGAACCTTGAAAACACTACAGGGAACGGTCAATAAGGGTATGAGAATTTGCGTGTACAACTGAAGCATGTGCGGGGTGAACAAAGAGATCCAACGTTTCTCGACACGTTTGGATAACCTTGTAAATGGCCATTGCCGCCGGGAAACTTTAAAGTCTTCACAAACTGACTGGCTTGGACCTGCGTGTCTTTGAGCAACATCTTGATCAAGTCCACAATTAGCCAGGGTGTAAGTCAAACTTACAAAAGCAAATGTGAATGGCACGTCCCTCAGCATCTCTATATACCACTTGTTCTTCTAAGCAGGGCGCCCGAATCAGTCAGCGCTCTCAAAACAATATTTTGATGATACCTTCTTGGGGTTAATTTGTTTCGGCGAAGCCAAAAACAACACCACATTTTGAGACGGGGTAATATTTGCAAATCAGCTAGCGCCCTCAGGCGCCTTTGATCAAACAATGATGTTGGGGATAAACCGCCAAACCCGCGCAGGCAAGATTCTTCAAGCCCAGCCAAGCCACAGCTCCAGTCTTCCGTGAGCTTCCTCACCGACTTGGAAGGCGTCCCTGAAGTTCCCAACCTGACCAGCGGCGGCCAGGGCACGGGCCGGACTAAACGAATCAAAGTTTTGAGCGACTCCCAACGCGCAGCAATCGCTCGCCTTCAGTGTTGGGAGGACATGCCTGCCCCAGAGCGGAAACGGCAGCGCGAAGCGCTCCGGCGGCGTATGCAGAAGACTCAGGATCTTAAGCCGGGTTTGTATGAGAAGTGGATTTCCGCCACATCGCCCGCCACAACGTTGCGGGCTGAGTGCGCAAAGGTCTTTGGTCATTCCCTGAACTCTTGAGTTATATACTTGGTTATAGGTGATGTCCCTCAACGCCCACGCGTCGTGTCCGCTGAGGAAGTTGAACCGTTCTCACAGTGTGATGTTGGACTTCAGACTTGGTGTTGACGGGATGTTGGGATGTGCCCTGCTTTGAGGTTCGACTTCTTGAAGTGCTGGCTTCTGGACCCGACCATGGCAACAATGCAAGTGGAAACACACTTCGTGCAGTCCAAACCTCAGCAATCGACACACACCCCTGAAGTTGATTTCAGTTCGAACGTGCGAACATCCAACTTTGAATCTTGGCGGTCATGCTGCTTTTTTGAAAGGCAAGCAGAGTCGAAATCGAAGAGCAAGTTCATAGAGCTCCCTTTGAATGAGCTGGAGGCGCCGTGTAGCCAGTTAAACTCTTTTTTCGCCAGTGCGGAACCGAAGGAACTCTACAAAACCGAAGAAGACCGGAAATGGTTGATGGAGAAGGTGGTCGCCAGCCCAGCCCTCAGTTTTGCTGATCTCCAAACAGCTAGGGGGCATGACCCTTGCGCGATTCACACCTATACGCTTTGCCAAGCCACTGAGAACAGTGCGGCACGCCGCACCCGCAAGCGCTGTCCTCAGCTTCACAGCTCATGCGCAAGCAATGGTTGAGCCACGATGTTTGCACACATCCCGCGCAGGACCCCGAAAACGGGCGCCGAAGAATCTACAAAGTCTTCAAGTGCATCGAGAGATCTGAGGGACAAACAAAGATTGTCGGCACAAATCTGAAGGGCTCCGTCAACGTGGCCGACAACAAAGCATGCAGACAGGCCGTCGTGGACCATCTAACAGCGCAGCAAGCAACGTTCACAGAGCCAGCGCCCGCAGCTTCAACCGCCAAGCCAAAACCAAAGGTGAACAAGGTAAAGAAGGCGGGGCGATTAAAACTCAGCCAGTCAGCTTTGCAAAGTGCAGCCGTTTGCCGTTGATTTGCGTTTCCTGGCATTTGCAGGCACTCACCGCCGAAGAGCAACGCCACAAAGACTTTGAAAAAGGCCTCAAATGGTTCTAGTCTTAGATCACCAGCGTGTCACGCAATAATTTTCCACTGATCGATGCCTAGGATTGATGGCATGGCTTCGAAAGCAAGAGCAACTGCCCAACGACTCAGCGAGAGCGGCATCGCGCATCAGGAGGCTTCGTAGCGCATGTTTTGGAACCTACACGCATATATTCGTGAACACTGTTGTTAGGCCCTCACCTCTGCGTTGGGGGATGTCTTCGCGCGTGCTTCCAATCTTAGCCAGCAGCCACTTGCGCATGCACAAGTCCCTGAAACGGTTGTGTCTTTCGCCACTCGCTCGCATCAAGCTACAATGTCAAAACCAAGGCTGAACAAAATGATCTTCGAGCAGAAGCCCTTTGATGAAACGGAGATGTGTATGCACGATGAGTGGACAGATATGCAGGCAAGGCTCAACTGTGGCACGCGCGTTCTCCATCTCCAGCCCGGGGATCGATCCACCCATCCTGGGCTTCGCAAACTATGGTTGTCTTGTTTCACAAATTAACTAGAGGCAATGGGCTTAAACAGGGTTCCTGATCGATGCGCAGGACTGGGAGACGCGGGTCACGGAGGCCGAGACCATCATTGTGGCAAAGGAGCGTCGTTCCCTGGCTTCACACAGGACGAACTGGAAACCTTATAACTCCCTTGATTGGTTTTTCTGCGTCTAGATACGACTCCACTCACCCCCTCAAGGTCCAATCCCAACAGCAAGGCAAACAGGTTTACTGGATGTCTTTCCTTTCGGGTGCCTTTTTGGGGGTTTTTGGAAAAGGAAACGAATCGGTGTCTTGGGGTCGACCGATGTATTGGAAGTGCAGGGAGTGCGGAGTGCGTCTGAGGGAGGCGAAGTGGGAAACCAGGACCCGATTCATAAACTTTGGTTCACAAAGAAAAGAGGGGCGCAAACAAATTGGGAAACCCACAAAGAACCCAAGCAAACCAAGATTAGTGTTGAACTTCTTTGTTTCAGGTCCCATCTAGATAGACGATTTTCAGAGGTTCAGAAAACAGAATCCGGCTCGTAGTTTTGGGGGTGAGTGTTTTTGCAAATGCCCGCGCTAGCAAGTAGCATCGATGCATTCACAGTGGCTTGCCTCCACCCTTGGTCGCTTGTTCGCCTTTAAGCTACACTCATCCTTCGCAGGCAAATATGCGGCCCAGGGTGGGGCCGAACCACCAACCAATACCGTACTGAGTGTCCAAACATATTTTGCACACGTACTGGTAACGCCACATCCATTTGGCAACTGGGCCTGTTGGGCTTGTTAGGGGCCAACCCGAACAGCTACGTTGACACCGTCTTTTGTTGGGGTCGTAAAGAAACAGCTGTTAGCTCCATCTTTGGGTCAGGCTTTAGGGGGCACACTTATGCTGGGGGTGGGATATCCTTATCGAACGTCGTGTTGTCTAAATCTGCCTCTTTGAACTGTGACCCAGCAAAATGCGTGACCCTGGGGGGCATGTGCTGCCCGCGGCCCTTGCGTGAGGTGAGGCAGCGGAGAAGCGAAAGCTCGAAGGGAAATCCAAAGCAAAGTCCAAAGCCAAAAAGAAGACTGAAGCCGACGTGAAGCAAGAGCCCTCTACACCAAGCCTTGCCACCTTAGCTGACTGGCCTGCCGATCAGGAGAGCTGATCGGAGTCAATCGCGGTGCGTTCTTTTTGTGCGGGCGCGGTTTTGCCCAGGGTGCAATGCGCCAACGGACTGAAAGAGGGACCTGGTTTGTCATCCACTTGCTCAAGCTAAACCCTTGATGCGTGCGCGCACCGCGTTATTATGTTGCGACCCACGGCACGACCGCCCAACTCACCAGGTCTAGTTCCGGAATCATGTTTCCAGATTCAGGGGAGAGAACCTAATGTTGTCAAGTGGCTGTGGCACTTGTGGCCTAGAACAATTCAAGTGTGTTTGATGCTTGTTGCCTATGCCGCTCAGCAACATTAGTTTGGGGTCCGATCTGCGTGACAACACGCCGATCAACAAGTGAAGGCATGGCTGCTTAACCAAGAGAAGGGGCGCGGCAAAAACCGCTTGAAGACATGTGAGCGGGTTGCCTTGCAGGCAGCAGCTGCGTTTGACCTTGACCTTGCAATGCTTTGCGCCTTCTGACCTTGATGGCCTCGAGCGACGCATGAGTGGACCAAACTAGTTGCGCACGCGTGCAACGTGCAGGGAACCCGACTCTTTCCACTCTCAGCCGCCCACAAGCCCTGGAAGCATCGCGACGAGTTTTGGCACTTTGCGCGCCACTGAACAGAAAAACTGAGCGGTTGCCCCTGTTGACAGTATAGGCAAGATGCCATGGAGAAGTCAATCCGAAAAGCGATCAGTGAGATCGCTGAAGAACTGTTCGACATGCTTGGAAAAGGAGAGGCGCCGGTGTCAACACACTTGAGTTGCGCAAAAAACCTCGCGCCCGCCGGACCTGCCTGCCCTGCAAGGCTTCCATCAAACGATTGCAGTCTCTATGCTAGCCTCTGGTGAGCGCGCGCTTTGCAGTGGGCGCTGTTCTTCTTAGTTGGCGAACTTCTTGGAGTTTTGGGTTTCCTGATCGTGGGCGCCAGGAAAAGACACTTGAGTGCCAAGGGTCTTTACTGCTGCCCAGGTCGCTTCCAGACCTTCCCCTATCCGCTGGTGCCGATCCTCAGCTGCAGTCAGCCGGCGTGCCTGAAGACCTGTGTGCGCGCTATAGCCTGCAATCCAAATCAGGTAGCTGGGGCCAGGGGCCAGTGATTTGGAAATGGGCTGCACAACAACCCTGGCGTGTCTTGACTGGTAGGTTTGGAATTGTGTCACTGGGATCTTGGGCGTGGGGCAAACCAGAATCAGGCAAAGTGATGCCTGCAAGATTTACGAGACTTGGCTTGCGGCGGCAAACAACTAATCTGAACACACGTTTGGCAGCCGGCTGCTTGCCCTGAAGTTCCGAAGTTTGAGCCAGCCCTTCAGGTTTGCCATCCCAGTGACCTACCCGGATATCCGCGGGCCAAGGCGCTCTTTCATGGAGCACTCCATGTTCCTCCCGCACGAAATCCTCGGATCGCTGCACATGACTGGAAACCTGGCACGCCTGGCAGCCGGGGGAGGACAGGAGGGAGCGCCTTGCCAGCTCGTGCTGGGTTTCGTTTTGAGCCAGCTCTGGGTCCCAGATGCGCTTTGTGGAAGGGCATGACCAGCGCAACATTAGCCAATCAAGTTAACCCAAGGAAAAAACATTTCGGACTCACACGTAGCAACTTTGAGCAAAGTTGCCCACCCGAGGCACTCAGAGAGTTCTGGCAAGCAGATGCTGAGTCGGGGTGGCTCCAATCCCACCCAGTCCTGTCGGAGCCCTGCCTGCGTGTTTTTTCATTAAGTCTGGCTTAAACTGCAGGTCTATGCGACCCGGGAAACCCGAAACAAGTGTACCAGTAGAGCCGGCGAAGCCGGCGTTTCTAAAGCGAGAAGAGTGCCTATAGGAAGAGCTTTGCATGTGTTTCTTTCTTCCTTCCTTCCTTCCTTTCTTTCTTTCTTTCTTTCTTCCTTCCTTTCTTTCTTTCTTTCTCATTTTTTTTCTTTCTTTCTTTCTCTTTCTTTCTTTTTGTTTCTGTCTTTCTCCTTTCCTTTCTTTTCCTTTCTTTTCCTTTCCTGTTTTTTCTTTCTTTCTTACTTTCCTTTTTTATTTCTTTCTTTCTTTCTTTCCCGTTTCTTTCTTTCTTTCTGACTTTCTTTTCGTTCCTTTCTTTCCTTTCTTCCCTTCCTTTCTTGCTTTCTTGCTTTCTCTCTCTTTCTCTTCCTCTTTCCATTTGTTCCATCTATCAATCTATCTACTTATCTATCTATTCTCTGTCTATCTATCTACCTATCGATGACCGTGCGAAAGTGGCGCGCAGTTGCCGCGAAACTGGTACTTGACCTTGCATGGGAACAAAATGCTGCGCCTGCCACGAAATCTGCACCTTAGGTTGCCAAAGTGCTGGGCCTGCAACGCGATTTACACCTCCGTCTCTGTCTTCTTCGTTTTTTCTCTCTCTCTCTCTCACTCTCTTTTTCTCTTTCTTTCTTTCTCTCTCTCTCTCTCTCTCTCTTTCTCTCTCTCTCTCTCTCTCTCACTCTCCCCCTTTCCATTTGATCTATCTGTCTATCTGTACTCCACCTTGCGAAAGTGCTGCGCCTGCCACGAAATCTGCGCTTGGCCTCGCGTGGGAACAAAATGCTGCGCCTGCCACGAGGTCTGCGCCTCAGGTTGCCAAAGTGCCGTGCCTGCCGCGCGATTTGCACCTCCGACACAGTCTGTGCGGCCGCGCCATGGGGGAACTCTGCGCACCCGTGGCGAACACGAACCCGCGCTGAAGGCACCCTTTCGCGATTCGGTCGGATATCTTCTGATTTTCGGGAGCGCCTTTTCTGCTTGATCAACTTTTCGTGTTATGGAAGTTTTCTATCTAAACGTTCTTTGATCATTTTTTTAGAAAACCTCCGGAAATTCACGGGAACCCTCCCCATTCCTTGCAGGGATCCGAGTCTTTCTAGAAAATTTCCGGAAATTCAAGGGAACCCTCCCCATTGTTTGCAGGGATCACTCTTTCTAGAAAAAGGAGACCCCTGTTGCAAACCGAGGCCTGGGCGTAAAAAACTAAGTTAGCAAGTTTAAGCAACGCAGGAGACCCCTTGCAACTGTCAGTGCAGCACTGCAGTCACATTATGCAACACAGACACTGCGATCATGGCCCAGGTTGCTGCGATTGGGAATTAACAGTGAGAGGACTTTACGCGCGCTAGCGTGCTAGGCGCCGGGCTTGTCTCGCGCAACGCGTCGCAGCTGGCGTCGCCTTTGTGTAGCGCGCAAGCGTTTTCGCTTCGTTTAACGGGGTCTAGATCGAACCCTCATATTTTCCTGTTTTCGTTTTTGTAAACAGACCCTTGGGCCTCGTCGTAGAAGAGGTCCACACTGGGTGATAGCCAACAAACGGAACAAGGAACGTTTCAACGACCCTTGCAGCGACGTACCCCCTTTGTTAAACATATATGCTTTCAGCGCTGCCTTTGAAACCCCACAAACTCTCTCGGTTTGAGCTTTTCGGGCTAGCAGCCCTTGCACAGTACGGCCTTGCGCGTTCTTGTGCAGTTTGGGCCAAGATCAAAAGAGAATCCCGTGCCTCTTGGTTCGCTTTGCGTGGAAAGCTCAGGACCCTGGAGTGGATTGGGATCGAGTGATCCCTATGCGCATCTATGGCGATGGCTGCGAAGCCATGCGCGGGAACCCTAGCTCGCTTGCGAAGACTTTAATTGTTTGATTGGACAAGTCGACCAGGCAAACAAAAATTTGAAATGATGACGCTCATCTTCCCTTGCTGCAGCTCAGCGGCCTCATTGGACTCCCGTATCCTGCACCCTGTCTCCATGCGTGGCGTAGCTCAGACACTCTGGTTCCAGCCCGCTAGCTCATTGACAACCGTTTGCGGATCTCTTGCTCAGGTGCACAGAATAGAACACCACCTACTCTGGGTCCAGCGAGGCCCGCAGTACGGTGCTGGAGGTCTTTGCCTGGAGTTTGAATTGCTTATGCCCCTCACTGCAAGTTACAGCCGACCATTTCTAGAGCTATGTGTATCCACTGATCCCCCCTATTCTTCAAACTTCGTGGTTCAACCATTTACCCGAGGCAGTGGCTTCTACCCTGATCGCGACCCATGGGGGCGGCTACTTGGCCCTGAACGGCAAAGTCGCGCAGGCAGCGAGATCACCCCGGGCTTCCGCGTGGTTTTGGATGGGATTCAGTGTGACCAGGATTTTGCACGATCGATCTTCGACCTTTCCCGGCATGCATCGACAAAGCAATGCTGTTTCTATTGCGTGGCTTAGCTGCTCAAAAGACTCTGGCGCACGCCCCCGTATCAAATTGCTGTTTTACCTGAAACGTGGCAAACCTGAAGCTGAGGACTGCCTGAAGTACGTGACAGACCGAGTTACCAATGAACCCAATGACCCGAACTTGCTGTACACTGTTTTTGGGCCTGCGGAGCAAAATCGAGCGAGCCTTGGCAGAATTCTTAAGTTGACTTGTTGTTCCCTGGTTCAAGCTACTACGGCAAGCTTCAAGTGGTCACGGACCTATACTCTGGCCGCAGGTCAGTTGCTGTCAAGAGAAGCAATTTGTCTGAAAATAGGGAACCGGGTTTCATGTATTTGAAAAGCGGCCCTATCCTGTGGTCGCCGTGCCTAAGGATCGTCACCGCTCAGCAGTTTCAGCAACTCCACGGACACACCCCTCTCACACAGGTCTGTGGGTTTAGCCCTGAACGAACCTGGCCTGCACGCGTATAGGCAAAGTTGAACATGTCCTATTTGAGCTTGTCTGCAACTCATTTCATAACAACAGACCATCTAAGGCATATTTCCGGATGTCATGCACATTTCCCACTTGGCTCTCTACCCCGACGCCCTTTGCTCAACATTGCTGAGTTTAACCGACACTCCTGAGTACTTCGATGGATCCAGCCGGGACAAACGGCTGCAGGCTTTGTGGACTCTCTATCAGGACTGGGCCGAACACTGCAACCTCTGTGACAGGGCATCCTTCAAACTTTTTACGGCAGCAACACTGCTGCCAGGGGCTGGAAAGTTTCCTGAGCCGAGCCAGAAGATCCTAAGCGCCAGCGCTTCAAGATTTGCAATTCTATGGTGCAGCTCCTTGCTTGCATCGATCGTGGCTGATCACGACGATCACGCGCTCGG